AAGTTTGCTTTTAAAATGGCATTCTTCAACAACTTTGTTGCAAGTTATGTATCCAGACTATTTCTTTGTGCCTGCATCTTCTCATTATTTATATTTTCTGTTGCTATTAGCAACCTGTTTAGAATACTTCAGATAGCTAGCCCTGCAATAATTCTTCCTGGAAATTCGTTGGCTCTCCTTGTTCACCTGATAAATTAATTTCTTGAACTTCTCATTCCCAGAAAACCTAATTTTCTCATTACTATAAAAACTCTTCCATCTTTACTCTTCAATATAGATTTTGCAAAAATGTTATATACTGCATCTATAAAGCATTTATTGGCACGAAATTCTGGGGGCTCACTGCTATTTCAGTGGTGTGATGAGCAGAGTGACTGGAGTAACCATGATCTGAACATTTATTCTTTCGTTGGTAACATCCAAACTCCTCTCAAGTATCTACCATGAAATATACAATTGCTGTCAGCCAGCTGTCTCCTCTTACCTCTGTTTCTGAGCCTGCTACCCATCCTCTCCCCACCTTCCCTAGACTCTGGTAACAGTCATTACTGAGTATTTCGGCTTTGGCGCTATGTGCTACTTTGATCTGGCTTTAATTGCCACCACCTATTTTCTACATCCCATTCCCTTCCTAAAACCAGTGAACAGAAGCAACTGTGTTTTTTGTTGTTGTTGTTGTTGTTTTGGGGGTTTTTTGTTTGGTTGGTTTTTTGTTTTGTTTTGTTTTTGTCTTTTTTGAGACAGGGTCTCCCTGTAGCCCCAGCTGTCCTGGAATTCACTATGTAGTCCAGGCTGGCCTTGAACCCAGAGATCTGCCTGCCTCTGCCTCCCGAGGGCTGGGATTAAAGGCGTGACTGTGTTTTCTATGACTGTAGACTTCTCTTCTTTTAAATTGTCTAATCCTACTTGTGTAGGCTGTACTAAGTTGGAAGACATGGTGGAAACTGTTCAATCACCAGGATCTTTTGGAGATATACATTTTACTCCAGCTGTTAACAATGCTTTTCCCTGACAACTGCCTTGAATAATACATTCTCTTAACTTTGTCTAAATTCATATAAGTAGGACCACAACTTACTAAGTTGCCTAGACATCTGGTCATGCTATTAGTCTTGCCAATTGCAAGGCACACTCAAAAGGAAATGCATACACTCCCCACACAGCTTGGTTCACATACATACCCATACTTCTGTCCTATTTAATGAGAAATACAAAGAAAGAATTTTTTCAAAGAACTTTTCACTCAATTAGATGAAATGAGAACTGTTCAGAGGTCTTGAAATTAATTCAGGTGTCAGTTGTGAACAATTTATGGGCTTATGTATTTCTATATGGATGATGTTTCTATTAGGTTAACTGGCAAGTTTTATATTATCTTCATTAGATAAAAAATCTAGTATGGGCTGAAGGGATGACTCAGTGGGTGAGCTCTTGCAGAGGACTTGGGTTTGGTTCTTAGCACCCATATATGGAGGCTCACAACTGTAACTCCAGCTCCAGAAGATCAGACACCCTCTTCTGGTCTCCATGGGCACTAGGCATGCACATGGTACACACACATGAATGCAGGCAAACACTTATACACCTGAAATCTTGTTTACTTAGGGGACAGCTCCATAGTGTTGGCACATTCACAGTAACAGAAAGGGGAGAGCACACGGTGCACTATCTAAGACAATATGTAAATGAGCAGGACTGGTAGTTGGTGTAAGTTTATGTATGCTGGGTTGGAACTAGGGTCTCCTCATGAATACTAAGCATACACTCTACCACTGGGGTACACTCCCAACCTACTTACTGTATTTAATATACAAAGTGCATATATCTGCTGCAACTATGGTAGGGTCCATCACTGGAATTTTCTATTAATACAAAACACTCAAGTATGTAAATACACGGAAATGTTCTGTGCAATTCAGGCTGTTTAAAAAGCATGCCTGGGGGCTGAAGAGGTGGGTCAGTGATTGAAAGCATTTGCTACTCTCCCAGAGGCTGAGTTCTGTTCTTAGCATCCACATCAGGTGGCTCACAACCACCTGTAACTCCAGCTCCAGGGACTCATGCCCTCTTCTGGCTTCCACAGGCACCTGCACACACATGGCATACACACACCAAATATAAAAAATAAAAACAAAGCTTTAAAAAAAACAAAAAAACAAAAAAAAAAAAACCATGCCTGGCCCCTTGCTAATACCAGCTCCCAAACTCCAATTTTAACCACCACAGATGTTCCCAGACACCAATGCACTCTGGCAGGCAATATTGCACACAGTCTTGGTATTTCCATGTGAAAATTAATATTCAAACAACAGAAACATAGTTTTCCTTCATTACAAACTTCTGAAACAAACCAAAATTTTGCTGAAAGCTTTCACACATCAATTTATCAACATCTAGTTTATTTAGTGTTCAATGAAATGTCCCTGTCTGACAAGACATTCTCAATTTTTTTGCACAGGTTTCCTTTGTGTGAAAATTTTGGAATGTTAAAGGATAAGTTCCCTTATAAAGTTTAAGAAGTGATAAGCTATGGAGGGTTTGCATTGTAATCAAAACATCATGCACAATGAGTCAAGAAAGCATTCCTTACATAAACTAAAAAGGAATATTTGGGGATAATGATGGGACTCTCTGCTCTATAAGTTACATTTGTATTAAGTCAATAGCCATCTACCAATCGCTGCCAAGCCTACCTTACAGGTCATGTTTTCTTCAGGTCTAGAGTCCATGAGAATTCATGGGGAAAAACTTAAAAATGTTTGTATGAGCCAAGTAATGATTATCTCATAAATGTACATACTACTGTAGAGCTGTTACATGGTCTGACACATAGACCACATAATGGAAGCAGTGTCCCAAAGGCAGGCAACCTGTGCTATACAGTTTTTCTGTAGGAGTTTCTTAATGCCTGATAAGGTATGCCTTCTCACAAAACATTGCTCACATTCATTATATTTTTGGACTGTCTCCTGTGTATGAACTGTCTGGTGCCTGGTGATGCTGAATTCTGCTAAAACAGCTTCCAACATTTATTATAGGGGTTCCCTCATGTGCGTTTTCTGATGTACAATGAGGGATGACTTATGGTAGAAAGTTTTCCTACATTCTTGGCATTCAAACCGTTTCTCAGTTTCATGAGTTACCTGATGTCTGTTGAGGTATGACTTCTGGTGAAAGGCCTTTTTACATTTCTGGCACTCATAGGGCTTCTCACCCGTGTGAGTTCTCCGATGTACAGTGAGGTGTGACTTACTGTAGAAAGCTTTCCTACATTCTTCACATGAGTATGGTTTATAACCTGTGTGGCTTCTTTGATGGATTGTGAGAGACGACTTGTGAAGGAACGTTTTCCTGCAGTCTTCACAAGCGTACGGTCTGTCACCTGTGTGATTTCTCTGATGCCTGCTGAGACTGGACTTCTGGTAGAAGGCTTTCCCACATTCTTTACATTCATAGGGTTTCTCACCAGTGTGAGTACCCTGATGCATGCTGAGGTGTGACTTGCGGTGAAAGGTTTTTCCACATACATTACATTCATAAGGTTTCTCACCTCTGTGTGTTTTCAGATGCACAGAGAGGTTTGACTTACGATTGAATGTTTTCTGACACTCTTCACATTCATATGGTTTGTCACCCGTGTGAATTTTCTGATGAATGATGAGGTGTGACTTGGAGTAGAAAGTCTTTCTACATTCTTCACATGTATACGGTTTCTCACCCGTGTGAGTTCTCTGATGTACATTTAGGTCTGAGTTACAGTAGAAAGTTTTCTTACATTTTTTACATTCATAGGGCTTCTCACCTGTGTGAGTTCTCTGATGTATAGTAAGGGATGACTTATGGTAAAACGTTTTCCTACATTCTTTACATCCATAGGGTTTCTCACCTGTATGAATTCTCTGGTGCCTGATAAGGTGTGACTTCCGGTAAAATGATTTTCCACACATATTACATCCATAGGGTTTATAACCTGTGTGGGTTCTCTGATACCTGCTGAGGTTTTGCTTCTGGTTAAAGTTTCTTTCAGATTGGTAAATTTCATAGGGTTTTGCTCCTCTACAGAGTCTCAGAGGCACACTGTGCTGTGTGTTCTGATACAAAAATTTCTCACATTGATTACATCTATATGACCTTCCTCCTGTATGTATTCTCTGTTGTTTTGTATGGTATGATTTCTTAATGAAAGGTCTCTCACAATCACTACATTCGTAATATTTCTGTCCTTTGTGTATTTTCATATGTTTAGTGAGCTCAGACTTTGTACGGAACATCTTCCTACACATACTACATTCAAAAATCTCTTCCCTTACCTGAGTCATCTCTTGGGCATTAAGAGCTACCATATCAGGGACTTTCCCATACTCACTGAATTTATTGGAAGTATGTGTCATGTGAACCCTCTTATGTGTCCATAATGCCCTTGTGCTACAGGCTTCTCCTTGCCCACAACCTTGAAAATGCTGCTGAGTACTTGGAACTTTGTGATGCAAACTAAGAAGCTCCAGATGTGTGGGGGACTTGTTAGTTATAGAACAACCAAGTTCCTCTCCAGCCTGCATGTCATCAGGTCCATTAGGGAGAAGCACATTCTGCCATACATTATGTGCTAGAGGCCACATTCCTGAGGAATTTCCATTCTTTACAGTCAGGCTTGAAACATGTTTAGAGCTCATATTAAATATTTTTCCCAATTCAAATTTCTCCTCAGTTGATGTGTTCCTGTTGGTGACTACAAGGTGCCAAGAATGTCTCTCCTCATTGTCCTGGCTGGTTTCTTTCTGTTCATTTACTTTCTGGACATCTAAAAGAAAACAGAAACAGCCAAATTCATATTACAGCACAAAGGTGAAACTGCCTTCTCATTCTCACTACTTAGGACTTTAAAACAATAATATTGATGCATGGATTTTGCCCCTAATGAGTCAAAAAATTAGACTTTATGATGTAAAATCAAGTTATTTCATTGGTTTAAGATGTTTTATTCCTTTGAAACACAAGGAGAAATCTAATAAAATATTTGCCTACCACCTAGCTGTAGGTTTCAAGACGTTCATGTTCTGCTATTTGTGCTCTCTGTCCCTTTACGCTAGTTCTTTTTTAATAACTAACCCTAATTTCCTTCTCTTTTGGATTGTAATGGCAAGGTTTTCACCAGTTAGCTACTTGTAGGAGGTAGGCACAAATGGTTTGTCTTTCACATGAGCAGAGATATAGTTTAGACTGAGAAAGGACTGATCAATGGGTATTTGGTTTTCATTTTTCTCTACGGGTAGAAGGCAGCTAATTCTATCCCTCCAAATTCCTAGTCAAAATCTATTTTATGCTTCTCAGAAGTATAACAAGTTCAGGAAGCTCCAGTCCAGCTCCCTGCTGGGCTAAAGGATTTTGTTCAGAAAACTAAGCTGTGCCCATCATTCTCTGAAATATGCTTTTATGGATGCTGGTGAGGTTTAGAAAGTTGGCATTTTTTACCCAGATTAAGGTACATGCACCCCTACTTGGTACCTGTTTCCAGAAGCTTTTGTTTTGTATTTAGCTGTCTGCTACATTATAAATGGAGTCTTCTATACAAATCTATTGTCTTCAAATTCTTTCCACAGAGAAGAATGAATGTTAACAACAAACTCCTTTCACACAGAAATATGAGCCTTTCCACATGAAGTCCTTGGTTCACTTACTCCTGTAACACCAAAGACCGAACTGTCCTGTCAAGCCTAAGACCACCCCTCTCCATCCTGGGTGATCTGGACATGCTGAGTATTCCTCACTTTCATGAATTCTGATTCTGTGGGAATAAGACTTGATTCTGGGTCTCTTTTCTGATTTTCTAATCAATCCTTTTGGTAAACGCCTGAATAACTATTTTTAACTATTTTCATTAAGCAACCAGTTTCCAAATCTTGTTATCTACTAATATCATGGTCACTCAACTCTAGGCTTCATGCCCACTTATATATTATGTATACCAAATTTGGAAAAAAGTAATCTCAAGACTAAACTGAGTAATAATCGCCTTAAAATTGCCCTCCCTTTAGACTTTTCCCAAAGGAAACTTCTTTTTGTGATAAAACATTCTTTAAGGCTCTTAGTCTAACTACCAAATATGAAGTGTTTCATTTGTATTTCAACAAAACATAAGCTCTTCATGTGGAGATGCACTTGTTTTATTATTATTTACATATCTCTTTTAAAAGTTCGGTGCCTAGGAGGTTACCAAATACCATGTGCTAAAAGAGCCAACATAGGCACAAAGGGCAGGATGGGAGGGACAGGCTATGAACTGGCAAAAAGAACACCTGAGAAGTGAGACAGAGCAGCTAACCAACCACCGAGACCATCCAGAAAGCGCCACACAGCTGCTGAGATTGGAGCTCAGGGGAATATGCAGCAGAGCAAAACACAGAAGAATGACTTGCATGTAAGAGACCTCCGTGCAGACGGTACACAGGACGTGTTCACATGCATGAGCCTCCCTGCAGACTGTACACAGGACGTGTTTACATGCATGAGCCTCCCTGCAGACTGTACACAGGACGTGTTCACATGTATGAACCTCCGTGCAGACTGTACACAGGACGTGTTCACATGCATGACTCTCCCTGCAGACTGTACACAGGACGTGTTCACATGTATGACCCTCCCTGCAGACTGTACACAGGACGTGTTCACATGTATGACCCTCCCTGCAGACTGTACACAGGACGTGTTCACATGTATGACCCTCCCTGCAGACTGTACACAGGACGTGTTCACATGCATGACTCTCCCTGCAGACTGTACACAGGACATGTTCACATGTATGACCCTCCCTGCAGACTGTACGCAGGAGGTGTTCACATGCATGACCCTCCCTGCAGACTGTACACAGGAGGTGTTCACATGTATGACCCTCCCTGCAGACTGTACACAGGAAGTGCTTACATGTATGACCCTCCCTGCAGACTGTAGACAGTACCTATCTGATGTACGACACCAGCTGTTACCAAGACGAGGACATGTGGAACCAGTGAGAACAGCTCAACATGGCCAGTGTCTGGTGGAGTTTACTCATCCTGGCTCCCTGTCCAGGGTGCATTCACTGACCTGGCAGGCTCTGGTTTGGGACGTTTTCTGCTCTCCATGGCCCAGTTCCCTGCTCCAACTTGAAGATCACCTCAGGTTTGGTAATGCAATGACCTGTTAATGAAAAACAATGTCAGATATCTGCCAAAATGCATGTCACGTGCACTAACAAAAGACAACAGATTTTGGAACTGGGTGATGAGCAGTTCAATCTGAACATCTGTGAGAAGTTTATACTCATGTTCTTTATGGCCTGGAATGTTTATTCATCTTTATAAGTAGTAACCTGAGGAAGAAGTAAAAGCTGGCCCTGGCAGTTCAGGCCTGTGAGCCCAGATGGCTGTGAGGAAGAAGAATATGAGCTCAAGTCTGGGCAGCTTAATAAGACCCTGTTCAAAGTAAAAAGTGAAAACAGTGCTGGTAATAGAGTTCAGTGACAGAGCAGTGTCCTAGTGTGTATGAGGCCCTAAATTGATCCCTAGCATGAAAATAAAGTAATATACTATAGAAATGATCCCTGAAAGTACAGTCTAATATGGCTGGGCATGGTGGCGCACACCTTTAATCCCAGCACTTGGGAGGCAGAGGCAGGCAGATCTCTGTGAGTTCATGGCCAGCCTGGTCTACATAGTGAGTTCCAGGCCAGCTGGGGCTACAGGGAGACCCTGTCTCAAAAAGACCAAAAAAATAAATAAATAAAGAATAAATACAGAAAATATAAAGTAATGCATAATTTGGAACAAGAAACCTAAAGAATGATGGTAAGAAAACTCGAGACAAAATAAAATTCAGTAAGAAAGATAATGGGAAATAAGAGAATTCATGAGATACAGCACTGAAATGAAGCAATCCAGCAGGTGAGATGGCTCAGTAGGGAAAGGCCCTGTCACCAAGCCTTATGACCTGAGTTCCACCCCTGGGACCCACGTTTCAAAGGAGAGAACCAAGTCTCACAAGTTCGTGGCCTCTCTGTGAGTGCCCTAGCACACACATGGGCACACACAGACCAAAAGCAGTTTTAAAAATTGTTGTAGAGCAACCTAAAATTTTATAGCTAAAAACGCAATGAAACTTAAAAGCAAAACAAAAAACCCTGAAAGCCTCAACAGCAGAACTGATCAGGCAGAAGAATAAAGTTTAGAATAATGTGATCTGAATTTAAAATGTAAAAACATTTTTTTTTTTAAATGAAGACTGTCTTTAAGGCTTTTGGTTTAAACATTTGCGTGATTGGTGTTGTAATCCCAGCTTTCAGGAGTCCAGCCTGGGCTATATAGCAAATTCTAGGTGAGCCTGAGCTACATGGTGAAACCCTGTCTCAAAAACTAAACAATGTGGTACAGAGACAATGGAATCCCAGGACCTCACTGGCCAGCCAGCCCAGATGAAACGGTGAGTTTCAGGTTCAGTAAGAGACTTTGTCTCAAGAGAATAAGGTAAGGAGTTAGAGGAAGACAGCCAACATTGTTCTCTGGCCTCTGAATGTTCACACATGGGTATACAAACATTCACACACATGCATACACCATATACTACACACACACAGAATTTAAAGAATAAGGGGCTAAAGAGATGCTCAGCGGTTAAGAGCACTGGACGCTCTTGCAGAGGACCTGGGTTTGCTTCCCAGCCCCCACAGAGTGGCTAACAACCACGTGGAACTCCAGTTCCAGGGGATCTGATGCCCTCTTCTGACCTCCAAGGGCACTGAATGCATATGGGCACTTACATAAATGCATGCGAAACACTCATACACATAAAAATAAATGAATCAAAATATTAAATCCAAATCAATTATTCATTGGGATAAATAGCAAAAAATTGTGTATCATGAGAAATATACAGACATTCAAACCTGAGAAGCTCAGCAGATCCCTAATAAATTTGACCAAAAGAGGTCTGAGTCATAGAATCTATAACCAAACTGTCAAAACAAAAATAAGCATTAAAAGAACACCAGAGTTTTCAACAGAAAGCCAGGTGAGGACACAACAGGCTGATGGAGTAAACATTCTGAAAAACTTTTCAGCCTAGACTACTATACTCAGAAAAGTTAACTTTCAGAAGTTGGGGAGAATTAGACTTTCTAAAACAGCAAAATCTGAAGGAATTCATCATCACTAGATCGGCCTGTGGTGGTTATTCTTGGTTGTCAACCTGATTACATCTGGAATCATCTAAGCTCTGAGAGGTCTGTGGGGGCATTTCCAGTTAATGATTTATTTTATGTGTGTCTATAATGACCACTGAATCTCAGAAATGGTTATTGTTCTACCAACAGAGAAAGAACTTTCATATTACTTGGAATGTCCTTGGGGACAGTCACTCACCCAGGGACACCAGGCTGCTGTAGGTCTCCAGCATCACGTCCCTGTACAGCGTCCTCTGAGCATCATCCAGGTCCTGCCACTCCTCCCAGCTGAAGTCCACAGACACATCCTCAAACGACACCAACTCCTGAAACGAGACATTTCTCCTCAGCCCAAGCCCAGCCTCGGGTCAGAAACAGGATTATGGAATTTGTTATTCTTTGTGAGTGTTTCAAATACAACATATCTTGGTTTATATTCTGTATCATGGGAGAAAAAAAATCACTAGTACCTTGGCTCTGCACTAATTCAGTAAGTCAAAAGAATACTACTATAGAATTTCCCATTCCTAGCAATGGAAAAATTATAGAGCTCAGGGTAAAACATGCACAAGGCCGTTTCAATCTGCAACACTACACACGAAAAGTGGGAGAACATGACGAGGAGGTGGAGGAGGAATGAAATTTAAAATTCTGTTTCAAAAAAACTTGATAATCTAGTCTGAAGACTTATGCGTACCTACACCCTTGAAATAATAAAGACACATGTTCAGCGTAGAACAGCACGAAGGCCGCTCTGTAGCCGCAGGTTATGCTTCACTGAAAGGAGAAACACTCAGATCATGCACATGAATGCGTTCTTATGAATGTACAGCAACAGAAAGCAAGGTGCAAGAGCACAAAGGACACAGGCCGACGGACCTCGAGGTCAGACGCTGCTCCTGGACAGTGCGAAATGGCAACGCGACATCTTCAGGTAACTGATAATCCAGTGATTTTTGCATTAAAAACTTAACCTAATTCCAACAACTTACACTTTGTGTGGTCACTGTTACTAGTAGATTACCTCTAAAGTACATTTATGTAACTCTTAAATTTATCTCCTAAATCCAAGCTTTGCATTTTGAAGTCAGGAAAGGAGAATGGGGAAAGATAAGGGGAGGAACCAGGGTGACAATTACCTCTACTAAGAGACAGAGCATTAAGAACATAGATCAGAGTCATCCTCAACTACACAGTGAGTCGGAGGACAGACTGGGCTACCTGAGACCGTCTCAAGAACAAATAAGCAAGCTGGGCATGGTGGCGCACGCCTTTAATCCCAGCACTCCCGAGGCAGAAGCAGACAGATCTCTGAGATGGAAGCAAGCCTGGTCTCCATAGCAAGTCCCAGGCCTGGTGGGGCTACTGGGGGAGGGGGGAGTAGAGAGAGAGTTTTTACAGGAAGATTAAGATTTTGGAAGGAGCAGAGCCTTGGTGATAGCTGAAGCCACCAAAGTAAGTGAAGTGGCGTCACGAGAACCAGAAACAGAGTCTGCGGAGACACTAGCATCCCGTGACTATGGGAACCAAGAGAGATCCCAAGTATCTTTCCTGGGAACTAGGAGAAGTTCAACACTAAGTGCATTTAACTACGTAGCATTCTCCTACTCTGTGTCAAACCAACAATATCAACAAGGAAGGTCCATCTCTAAAAGTGTTTAGCACTGAATAAGAAGCTCAAAAGAAGAAAAAAATATGAGAACTAGGATTTGCTTATGATTTATAACTCAAAAATACCTGATAATCTCCTGAAAAGTTTCAAACAGGAAGAATTGATAAATTACAGGTATAAAAACTTAAATTCTCCCAGACTTAAGAGGCAGAGACAGGCAGATCTTGGTGAGTTTGAGGCCAGCCTGGTCTACATAGCGAGTTCCAGGGCAGCTGGGGCTACAGGGAGACCCTGTCTCAAAAAGACAAAAAGCAAAACAAAACCCTTAAATTTTTAGGGGGGCTAGAGAATGGCTCAACAGTTAACAGGCTCCTCTTGCAGAGGACATGGGTTCAGTTCCCAGCACCCAAATGGTGGCTAACAACTATCTGTAACTCTAGTTCCAGGGGATCCGACACCCTTTTCTGGCCTCCGTGGGGATTGCATGCACGGGTGCATTTACATACATGCAAGGCAAAATACTCATAAATTTTAAAAATTATGATCTCCACTTATGAGAGCATTCATATCACAAAAGCACTAAAAAATAATCAAACCAAACAGTGGCAATAAGTTCCTGCCCCAAAGAACAAAGAAAGAGAAACAAAGGCCTGTACCTGAGTGCACACACACAGTTCTGCCTGCCATGACCCTGTGGCTCAGAGCACCCAATCAGGATATGTGTGTCCATATACAGGAGACAAACTGAACTGCACGTGGCCCATAAAAGGCCAAGCTTTCCTTTGTGCAGGGCCCTGCTTTAGAGAAATGCCTCTCCTGCAGACAGTACCGGTACAATAAATTGTTCCCTGCGAGCCTTGGGATCCCAGTTTTCTGTTCAGATCACCTACTACAAAACCAAACCAAACCAAACCAAACCAAACTCTAGCCACACGTTTAGCAACAGCATACAAGTATCTGAAGAAAGAGACGGGTTAGGGTGTGAAACAGAAGCTGAGCAGTCAATTTTGTATAACACATGGATTCTCTGTAGTTAATAAAGTACGTTGACAATATTCCAACGGAAGCATAAAATTCATAGACGTGAGCGAAGAGATTTCAACATTTTTACGGACAATTAAAGAAGCAGAAATAAGGTGTGATTAGTTACTTTTCCACTCTCCCAAATCCAGGTCCCTTCTTGTGTTCCTCTGGGGCTTCCGTAACACAGGCCACAGCCTGGATGATTAAACAGCAGATCGAGGCATCAGCTGACACTCGGACAAGGCCTCTCTACAGACTTACAGATGTAGCTTTTTTAATGGCCTCACACTGTACAGTGGAAGAGACATGTCTCCCCCTCCTCTTTGAAAGGCCATTAGTCCTGAGATCAGGAATGAGTCTTATTTAATCGTAGTTACCTTTAGCCCTACTTCCTAACACAGTTACATGTGGCCTTAGGGTAGGCCTCACCATGTGAGCCCTTCCACAGCACTGCCATTCCTAACTCTGATGAAAAGTTAAATACCTTCCTGCAGTTAAACTCAAATATCAGGTTTATAATCCTCCACTTGCCTTGGCTAACCAAATAATATTGTAAATGTGTGTGTGAGTGTGTGTGTATGAGAGAAAGTGTGTGTGTTTGTGCCACAGGATAACCGCATATTCTTCCCTCATACTGTAGAATCCCTAGCCTCCTCCTTTAGAGTCCTGGACCCCAGGTCCTCCTATAAATATCCACTGGTGCAGTTTGTGGGGTCCTTTAAATCAGGCCAGTGGGCAGGGCACAGTCAGATCAGAACCTGGTGTTCCACTTTTAGGGTGTGGACTGCCATTGCCTCTCTGTGGAACTTTATTCTCCTATCTGTGAAATGAAGACAGAAATACACAACTGAATGTGTAGACCTCATCCTGAGCACATCGTAATAATGTAAAGGACAAAATTACCTCCCTCGATAAAGTAAAGACTTGGAGCCAGGGGAGGAGGCTAAGAGATGGTAGACGACCCACCAAAACAAACTGTATGTTCTGGTTTTCAATGTTCAGCTGGTTAACTCTGCTTTGGTATAATCACTGGAATTGCTTAACTTCATTTTGGGATTGTTCTTTGTGCACAGAAACAGTTGGTCTTATTTTTTAAATATTTTGTGTGTATGCGTGTATTGCCTGAATGTAGGTAAGTGCACCTGTGTTGTACAATGCCCACGGAGGACAGAAGGGGCTGTCGGATCCCCTGGAACTGGAGTTATAGATGCTTGTTAGCTGCCATGTGAGTGCTGGGATTTGAACCCAGGCCTTCTGCAAGAACAGCCAGTGTTCTTAACCACTGAGCCATCTCTCCAGACCTTTTTTTTTTGGTTTTTTTGAGACAGGGTCTCCCTCCTGTAGCCGCAGCTGACCTGGAACTTGCTATGTAGACAAGGCTGACCTCGAACTCACAGAGATCCACCTGCCTCTGCCTCCCAAGTGCTGGGATTAAAGGCGTGTGCCACCACACCTGGCCCCAGACCTTATTTTTTATTTTTATCTGTTACTTTGTTCAACCTTTTTAAAAATATTTTTATTTTATGTATTTGAGTGTATTGCCTGCCTGTATGTAAGTGCACCCATGTTGTGCAATGCTGCAGAGGTCAGAAGAGGGCTTCGGATTCCCCTGGAACTGAAGTTAAGGACGGTTCATAGCCGCCATGTGGGTGCTGAGAATCAAACCCAGGTCTTCTGCAACAGCAGTTAGTGCTCTTAACCACTGAGCATCTCTCCAGCCCTCAACTTTTTTATTTCTCTTTTTAGCATCCTGATATCTCCAAGTAGCTATGTTCCAGGTCTCTTCCACTCTACGTGCCTTTTACTTATTTCTGTTGCCAAGGGTCCTAGCCAGCACCTTTAGGACAGTAATGAACAGATGCATGAGAATGGGCATAACTTTTCTAATCTTGGGAAATAAAAATACTGATTTTATCAAGTGTGACTTAAGTACAACGCTCCCTTCTATTCCTACACTGTTGAATTTTTTATCACAAAAGGTAGATTTTTCTCAATTGTGTGTGTGCGTGTGTACGTGCATATGTGCACGTGTGTATGTGTGCACACATGCACTTATGGCACAGCACACTTATGGAGGACAGAGGACAACTTGCAGGTCCCAGAGACTGAACTCAGGTCCTCAGGCTTAGTGGCAAACACCTTTACCCACTGAGACATCTTGGCAACCCTTAGGTGGATTTTTAATTGTACTGATACAATAAATCATGTTTGGGAAAAGGGCATGTTGTAAACATGATTTCATACCATTGGTTTCTAGACAAGCTAAGAGAATAAAGATGGTGATGTTTTATAGTTTCATGTTTACCTTTACTGGTGCCCTGTGTTTTCGGGTTCTATGCCGCTGGGGCCATTTCCAGTGACTGGAAGTGACCAGCCTCTTTTTGTAGCTTCTGCTTTGTCTTCCGGTTTCGGCAGACTGGCTGGGGAGTAGATTCACAGAGCCCTTCATGCTGTCCTGCTGCAAGTTCCTCTGAAAATCACAGTTTTAAAGACAGCATGTGGGGGACTGAGAGCTGCATTTAGACTAGACCCAGTGCAGTGGCACGTGGAACCACCAGCATCCTGTGAGTGAGTCCTGTGAGCGTTACACATTCAATCCTGAGTGAGTGATTCCAGTCAAGGCTTTTGCTTTACATCCTAAAATTGTCATCGTTATGTAAGAGAACAAGTGCTGAAATACCCGAAAATACTGCAAAGCTGTTAAAGATTACAAAGCTCTGCCAAGCGCGGCTCTCACAGCACACGTGACATCCACAGGCAGTCATGAGAGTGATGAAGTGCTACTAACATTCTGAAAAGTTTCTTACGTATGACACAGTCCTAAGTGGACATGTCAGTAATACCAGTTTAAATGTGGGACGTGTGGGACAAATTACAGCAGCAGAACCAGTTAAAGAAGCAGGATTTGGACTTGTTCTACTAACCAGTCTCTGTCCGGTTCTAGTTGAGATTTTTGGCAAAGTTAGAGGAAACGGATTTAAAATGGAAAGTCAACAACCTCTGTGAATAAGTGCACAGGCCCTTTGATGCCCATGGCCACAACTTCCTACAACTATGCCCCAATTCCTACCTTGTCAGCACCACCCAGTAAAACCAGAGTACCACAGCTCCATGAAGGACTAATCTAGTCATTGGGCTGGGGTCGCTGCAATGCAGTCATTTCTGGAAGGCCCTCACACAGCCAGGGGTGCACTTTATTAATCTAGGCAACGGTCAGCCCAATCAAGTTGACAATCAAGATGATCAATCACTCATACTTTGTGAAGTTATGGAGATAGTATAAGATGTGTGTAGGTCCGCTGACATGGCAGGTGATGCACAGACATTTTAAGCTTATTTTACTTTTCAGCTAATGTTGAAGGGTCAAATTAATAGGTATTAAGAAAAAAGTACCCTGGGCTTGGTGGCTCACGCCTATAACTACAGCACTTAAAGATTGGAACAGGAGCACTGCCATACGGTGAGGCCAGTGTGGGCTGCACAGTGAGCTCCTGGCCAGCCTGGGCTACAGAGTAAGCCTCTGCCTCAAAATTTAAACAAAAAACCCATGTCACACTATTCAAAGCATCCATAGATTTAAAACAAAATCTAGGGGCTGGAGGGATGGCTCAGCGGTTAAGAGCACTGGCTGCTTTTGCAAGTGGACCCAGGTTCAGTTCCCAGAGCCCACATGACTGTTAACAATCAGTTAACTCCAGTTCCAGAGGACCTGACAACCTCTTCTGGCACTCACAGACATTGCACAACACAGGTACACTTACATACATGCAGGCAATACACTCATACACATGAAATAAAAATAACAAAATATTTAGGGGCTGGAGAGACAGCTCAGTGGTGAACAGCACTGACTGCTCTTGCAGAGGACCCGGGTTCGATTCCCAGCACCCACATGGCGGCTATGAACCGTCCTTAACTCCAGTTCTAGGGAATCCAAAGCCCTCTTCTGACTTCCACTGCATTGCACGACATGGGTGCACTCACATACATGCAGGCAATACACTTTGAAAAAGAAGACATTAGAGATGGAAAATAAAATCACACCAGAAAGACAAAAATAACAGCACTGACCAAGACATGGACTTGAACCGGCATGAGCTGACAATGAAGCTTAAGTCCATGTCCATCTGGAGAAACTGCAGCTGTGGAACAGGCATGACACTATTCTGCCAAAGGCACACCCTTAAAAACCCTGCAATGTGTACCATGCTAACAAGGGTTAGAGGTCTGGACAATAGTGTGAAACCATGTTTCAAAATACTTTATTACATTTATTTACTTATTTGGGGGTATATACGCATATTATACACACACCACACATGTTAAGATCAGAGGACAACTTTCAGGAGTCAGTTCTATCATGTGAGTACTGGGGATTGAACTCGGGTATCAGATTTTCCAACAAGCACCTTTACCTACTGAACCAATTCACTGGCCAGCCCCTGAAAAAACAAAACTTAACAAGGCACATAAAAAGACAATAAAATCGTGCATTCAGACAAAAAAACTAGTTACAAAGATAACCATTTTCCTCTAGATTAATCTGTAATCAAAATTTCAACATGTCAGGCATGGCAGGGCATGGTGGTGTACACCTGTACTCCAGCATTTGGGAGGCGAAGGCCGAAGGACCAGTAGCTGTTCAAGATCACTCTGGCTACAAAGTACGTTTGAGGCCAGCCTGAGCTCTGTGAGACCCTGCTCAAAAAATAAACAAACACCAACTCAACATGCTTAGTTTTTAATGGATGGAACCAAAATAAACACATAAACACACACACACACACACACACACACACACACACACACAGACAAGAAGCTTCTGCATTATAAAGGAAATGGCAGTGACTATCATTCTCTAAAACTGCTATACATTGTGAAACTCTAACACTGCAATAAGAAAGATTGACGAGGGGCTAGAGAGATGGCTCAGGTTAAGAGCACTGGCTGTTCTTGTAAAGGACCCAAGGTTCAGTTCCCAGCACCCACATGGCAGCTAACAACCATCCATAACTCCAGTTCCAGGATCCACTGCCCTCTCTTGGCCTCTCTGCAGGCACTGCACAACATGAGTGCACTTACATACATGCAGGCAAAACACCCATACACATAAAAATAAAACATTTTTTAAAAAAGATCAAGGAATCAGCTGGGTATGGTAGCACATGCCTTTAATCCCAGCACTTGGGAGGCAGAGGTAGGTGGATCTCTGAGTTCAAGGCCAGCCTGGTTTACATAGCGAGTTCCAGGCCAGCTGGGAGACCCTGTCTCAAAAAAATCAATCAATCAATCAATCAATCAATCAATAAATAAATAAATAGATCAAGGAATCACAACACAAAATCCAGATGACCCATATGGGTGTGGATGTGAGAAACGTTTCTATGGTTAAATTAACAGAAAGGCCTATATAAATCTAACCATATAAAAATTTAATTGTGAATGAGTTAAACTACCTAATAAAAGGGCACATGATAGAGCACATGCCCCAAATCAATAAAAGAAGAGCAGATGTTGGGTTGGGGCATAGTTAGTGACAGAGCACATGCCCCAAATCAAGGAGACCCTACATTTTGTCCCCAGGGCAAAACCAAAGGCCGATGCCAGGGGAGGTGATGTTGGAAATACAGCAGGGTGCTCCTGACTCCACCATGGACACACTGGATAGATATCTACTCATTTCAAGCCCCCTGACAGTCCTAAATGAGCTGTCTCAAGTCCACTGAACACAGTGAAGGTTTATGATCATAACCACTCCCAAGTGCTTCCTCCAAGTGGATCAAACAGCTGTCATCCCTCAGGGTCAGGGCATGGAGTGACAAACTCCAGGGGTTCAGTTTCTCTGTGGAAGGAATTAATTTCTGACAGCTGGGCTCTGTGAACCTGCATTGGGGAATGAATACAGCCAAAGGAGCAACAGACATCTGGCACCCTAAGAGGGAACACTGCACCTCTAGAGCCCTGCCAGGCAGCTTTACCCCACCAACAACTCTAGGTCTACCAACTCCTCCTGCAAGGAGCTTGCACAGGCAGAGTCCCAACGTTGACATCTTCCCTTGGAGGAATCCTGTTCGAAACTTCCAGGCTTTAAGAGCTAAAGGCCTGGATAAAGCTGCCTAGACCAGAGTGGATGTGCACGTGCTTCCCCGGGCATGGGGGCTCCTGCCTGTTATCTCAGCACTCTGGTGGTGGCTGAGGCTGGAGGATCATCTGGGTTACAGACTTTGGAAGCAGGTGTCCCAAAGACTATGGATATGGAAAAGGGATGGCTGAGCTCCCATGTTCACTGCACTACGGACAGAGGCCGACACACAGAAACACTGGAATGCCTTCACAATGAGGGAAGGTCAGGACACGCCTCAGCCTGGGGCTCCATCACTCCTCACACCTCACCCCACACCTCAGGATGCTCCACACAGGACCTGGGTGACATCCTAGACACCAGCACACCACACAGGTGACATCCCAGACACCAGACAGGTGACATCCTAGATACCAGACACGTGACATCCCAGACACCAGACAGGTGACATCCCAGACACCACACAGGTGACATCATAAACCCCAGACAGGTGACGTCATAGACACCAGCACACCACACAGGTGACATCCCAGGCACCAGACAGGTGACATCATAGACACCATGGCAGACAGGTGACGTCACACACACAGCAGCTGAGTCAGGACTGGAAGAGGGAGGCGGTGAGGACAGACCCTGGAGTCTCCAGCACGGCCGGGACCGAGACCGACAGTGCGCACAGCTCAGTCCCGCAGCATCTGCACACCGCACCACCGAAGGGCACGAGGGCCCGCGCCGGCCGGTTCCCGCCGGTTCTCGGTCCCCGGCCACACTCACCATAGCGCCTGCAGCCGACAGGCCCCGGACTCACGACCTCGGAGCTTTGAGATGGGACCGAGAATCAAGATGGCGGCCGCAGACAAAGCCCCGCGGACCGTGAAGGCCCGCCCCTTCCCCGGGATACAGCTCCTATTGGACAGTGTCCCAGTCCCCGCCCCTCGGCGCCCTGAGTGACAGGAGAGCGCACAAACCGGAGGCTGGGCGAAGCCAGAGCGGCAGGACCGGCTGCCGTTGGGTGGGTTTTTTTTGTTGGGTTTTGTGTTTTGTTTTTCCGAGACCTGCTGGTCGCTCAGGCGGGCTTCGAGTTCGTGGCAATCCTCCTGCCTCAGCTCCCGAGAGCGAAAATTGCAGGTGTGGGCCGCCCTGCGCTGGGCTAAGGACCCTGCGTTTATCCCCTCTATAATGTTATGAGTTACGTATAGGAATGTGTTAACAAATGGAAGTAAAATGATAGTTATTTTTAAATTTCCAGTTGCTTTTCTGATTCTTGTTTGTGAATAAAAGTCACCAGAAAAAACCTTCGGTCTTCAAACTGGACTTTCTCCTGCAAAGCTGATCAAACGATTAGAATTTCCATAAATGTGGAGAGTTTAGAATGTTGCAGGTCCAGAGCCTAATTACCATTTGTCTCTGGTCATATCTAGCCCCCTAAACAGCCAGTCCTTGTCCACCTTTGTTTCTGATCTAACATCCTATGACTAACAGATAAAAACCTTTTAAGATGTATTAGCAGACCACCAGGTCTCACCAATCAAAAAGCTAAGACTGTCATCAGATAGCATCTGAGACCTATAGTAAAAAACCCCTCGCTTTGCTGCGACCAGCCTATTGAATGTCTCCTCCAACGTATTTGAAAAGTGTCTTGATTTATGACTTTTCTTTGTCATTACTATAAAAATGTAACTGTTATCATGCGGAACATGGCATTTGGGGTAATCTGAATCTGTGTTCCTGGGCCATGGTCACTCACATTTGGCTCCGGAATAACGTCTTATTCCCTTTGAGGGGAGAGTTATGCTTTTGTCAACATGTTTCTTTGAACAAAGACACAGTCTGCAGAAGCAGATGTCAAATACACATAAAATGTGAGGTACAGTTGTAATTTTAAATATTCTGGCATTTGCATAAAAAATCAATGGGATTAAATTGATTGTAATATATTGTAATGTTGATGATAATATATCCAAAATATCGATGTAAACTTTATTCCTGGCACTAAACCTTCATAAAACAGTGTATTCATGGCTTGAGCACCTCTCTGTTCTTGGCACTGTGAAATGAAGGTCCTAGAACACTGCAGCTCCTGAAACTACACGGCTGACTGAGTAGAACACCTGTGGTGGTTGGAGCATTGGAATGTTACTGGTCCAGAGTCAAATTATCTTGGACTAATCTTCATCTCCCTTCATCACCCACGTTTTTGTTCTACTTGACATTGATCCAAGAGTTGGCTCCTAGCTAAGTAAAGGAGGGTGGGCCATGATGGATCACGAGCCAGTCAATTTGCTCTAAATTAGCCCCATGACCATAACACATGACTTGATTACCTCTTGGGTTGGGCAGAGGGAGCTTGCCTCAAATGACAGAACACCATGGAAGTGTTTAGATGAATCAGTTGTTTGAGACAGGGTCTCCTTGTAGCCCCCGCTGGCCTGGAACTCACTATGTAGACCAGACTGGCCTTGATCTCACAGCATTCTGCCTGCCTCTGCCTCCTAAGTGCTGTGATAAAAGGCGTGTGCCACCATGCCTGGCACATGAATGGTTTATAGTCTGAAAACAGAAAATCACAGGAGCCCAGAGATATGTCTCAGCATGTTACAGCCCTTCCTCTATGACTAGAGACCTTAGTTTGATCCCCAGAACCCACATGATGCAAAGAACTGACTCCTAAAAGTTGTCCTTCTGATCTCCACATGTGCATCATGACATACACACACAAATAAACATAATGAAACATTTTTTAAAAGGAAGGACATAAATCAATGCATTTACTGTCCTTGAGCAACTACAGTACAAATCAAAGACACGTGGCTAAAAACATTTAACAAACCAGAGCGAATGTAGAAAAGATGTATTTTCATTTTTTATGTGTATGAGTGTATTGCCTGCATGTATGTAAGTGCACCTGTGTCGTGCAGTGCCTGTGGAGCTCAGAAGAGGACATCAGATCCCCTAGAACTGGAGTTACAGATGGTTGTTAGCCACTATGTAGGTACCGGGATTTGAACCTGGATCTTCTGCAAGAGCAGCCAGTGTTCTTAACTGTTGAGCCATCTGTCCAGCCCAGAAAAGATTTTTTAAGAAAAAAAAATTGTTAAAGAAAATAGATTTAAAAGAGACCAAGACTCACCCCTGAGGAGGAATGGGAATTCTTTTATGAGAGTTAAAGGAAGTTCCTTGGTCTTATTTCATGTGTCATTTGTGTGGGGTCTCTATCTAGACAGATAACTGGGCATCTCACTGTATTAAGTGGTAAATTTTACAGTCCCAGGTATCTTTCATGAGATTGACCATTTGAGATTAGTCACCATGGGCCAATAAACTCTAGGATCTTAGTATTTGTATGGCATCACACGTCACTGATGTCAGGCTCCAAGAAGTCAGGGCCTGGTTGTTTAAGTGTGGGAATTTTTTTTTTTTTGCCTTTGTTTTTGACAGTTCTTCCCCACTTGCAAATCAGCAAATCATTGGTGAGGGACGAAGGTCATCTTCTGGAGTCTTTACAGCAGAGAAGAGGCATTGGGTACCATTAGTTGGCATTACTGAGGCATCACAAGGTTGTAGGAGGTGGGGGAAGTGACTGTCATCAGAGGCTGGAGGCTGGACTGTGACATTGTGTGGAGGTTCAGAAGTTCTCATTGGGGTCAGATAAGCACCAATGTCAATGGTGATAGCTGATAGTCCTGAGACACCACATCTGGTGTTTGGAAGATAACAAACATACCAGGAGGTTAAATAAACGAAGGCTGAAAGGAGAGTTATGTGAGTGAGTGAGCCCAGGAGAGGCAGTAACCAGGAACACAGCTGCATGCCTTTCAAAATGGCCATCCCTTGAAGGATCTCTGTTAAATTGGATGTCTAGTCTCTTAATTTCTTAGCTCCATCTGATGCTATCCCCAGTTAACTAATGCGGAGGCAGCATTCTTCTCTCAGGCCGGACATCTACCCCCTGGGTCTTCCATAAGTATGTCAAGGGCATAGTGATGGTGGAGATACAGCGAGGTAAGAGATCAATCTGGTAATGAAGGACATCAAGGGTGACTGAGATGTGGTCTAGTCCTCGCTTTGATGGTTAAAATCTTGACTATCAACGTGATAGATCTAGAATTATCTAGGAGACGAACCTCTGAGTGTGTCCCTGGGGACATTTCTAGATTGGTTTAACCAAGGTTGGAAGATCCACCCCTCAGCGTGACTGGTAGGATTCCAAGGGCTGGTGTCTCAGGCTGAAGAAAAGGCAGAGAATAAGCAGGGCACTAGCACACACCTCACTCTTCTCCCTGCCTGAAGACTCCTTGTAACCAGCCACCTCACCCTCTCCTTCCAGGCCATCCCTCCATGGTGAACTGCATCTTCAAACTGTGAACCAAAACAAACTTTCCTTCCTTGAATCTGGCTTCATCAAATTGAGAGTTTTGTTTAGTGTTTTGTCAGGTGTGCAGAGAGCACATGCCTGAGACCTGACTTGGAATTGTATATTGTCTTGGCATTGGAGCTGTTTGAGAGGCAGACACGTCCTGTCTAACAGGAGGGTGTAGTTGCATGATGGGGGAACCCACAGGAACAGACCTCCTTGCGGCCTTTACTACTAAGGGGACACGTCTTAGGAGGTCAACAGCTGCTAACGCCATGCACTCAGCGGACAAGGGCGATGTAAAGAAGCAAGATTTGTGTTTATATTTGGCCATGAGTGTGTTGGAAGGACGGGTAAGATGGGGGTTCTGTTGGAAATTCATATGGAGGGAGATTGTTAATTGAGTCCATGCCAACGGAGAGAGGGGACAAATGCTGCCAGTTTCTAAAAGTAGAAATTCCCATAGGTTAAGGGCACACAAAGGCAAGGGTTGGGTACTTGAGTCTGATTACATTGTGGTTCTTCAGGAGATGGAGACAGGGGAGCAGCTGCAGAGCCTGGGAATGGGAGTAGGAGGAAAACAAAAGCTTCAGGAACGATGTCTGACACTGGTGGTTATGAAGGCAAGAAGCCACTCTACGTCCAGCACGGCAGCCCAGGGATGAAGACTCTCAGTAAGTGATGATCTCAGACCAGGGGTACAGTCTCCTTGAAGGAACGGACCAAATCCCTTAACTCTAAACTCTGGATGGGTGAACCTGTTATTCAATGCCCTCAGGGGTCAGAAGAGGGCATTGGATTCCCCTGGACTGGAGTTTTGGAAGGTTGTTAACTGCCATGAGGGTGCTGGGAATTGAACCCAGGTTCTCTGCAAGAGCAGCCAGTGCCCTTAACCAGTGAGCTATCTCTCCAGTCCCAGTACTGTGGGGTCTTAAAAACAGACTGAGAGAAGGGTGGAGGAGGACTGCTGAGTCTCAAGTGTGAAAGACCACTTAAAGGTTAGACAACCCTCTCAGCCCCTCCAGAAGGTTAAGAGTGACAAGCAACATGAAGATCCTGATTTTGAGACCTTCACTTACTCCCTGAGTGACTTTGGAAATGGAAGCCAAGCCATTATCAGATGATAGGGACTGGGGGACCCAAAGAGAGGAATAATGTGTTCTCTGAGGGCAGTGGTCACTGCTGTGGTCCTGTATTTAGTGGGAATGCCTCTATCCACTTGAACCAGTGAGGGTATCCACTAGAACTAGTAGATATTTCAGCACCTTTTCTAGAGACATGTCGGTGAAATCCGTTTTCCAGTCTTCCCTGGCATAGTTTCCCTGTGCTGGATGGACTATCCCAGAATGGGAGTTTGATGCCCTTTTAGATAGGATTCACCAGATTGGACAAGGTCCAGAAATAGATTGAGGTCAGAGGAATTTCTGTTCCCATGGAGAGATGCTTAATTAGAATTGGAGAGCTCTGCTTTCCCCTCCCCCAATGTGTGGCTTGATGAAAACTGTTCCGGGTCCAGATTCTATGTCCTCTG